ATTTCGCAGACTGTCTTGGAAGTATGAAGTAGAGGCCGACTCTGACAATCGGCCACTCTTCTTCTGCTCTAGCAGTAGCCGAGAGTCTGTGTATGTTTTCCTCGACCCGTCCGCCTGAATATGACGAATAGGTTTCCTATTTCCTGGAGTAGGAAAACGGTATTTTGTGAAATCAAGGGCAGGTGGCTCCCACTTCCTAGATTTAGGATGAGGGGTCGCCTCTCGCCCTTGAACTGGCTTCCTCTTCCGTGAAGTGGAGGGTTTCTTAGCCGACTGCTCCTTGTCCAGAGCAGGCGGCTTCTTGTTGATCAACTCTTGAATTTCTCCCTTGAAGTCCCTCATGAAGGTCATGAGTTCGTTCCTTGTGATGGGAGCAGACCCATCAGTCGGCTGCTGCCGAACAGGCGGTGCGCCTGCTGGCTCGCTTCCAGTCTGAAGATGTTCCCGTTCCCTCCTTTCGGTATGACGGGTACGTCGGGCCCTTAGGGTCCCGTCTGAAGCTGTGTGAGCTTCAACTTCAAATTCATTCTCAGTATCGTGGTCCGACTGAACTAGAGGATCGTCCAGGGGACGTCTCTCTTCAGGAGCCGGTACAAAATGTTTCGGGGTTTTCTGATGTCCTGCGGGAGAGTTACAATTCCGATGCTGGAACCGGACGCATGTACCTGCAAAACAAACGGATGCTCCGGATGGTTGGAGATCCGCCTCCGACGGTCAAGTTAGTACTTGATTAAGGAGTAATTAATGCGGAAATTAAAGTGGTTGGGTCTCTCTAGGTGAGAGTGTTTAATGTGTGTAATCTGCGTTGTTCGCGTCCTCTCCCTTAATGAGGATTAAGGGAGGTATTTATAACCTCGGGAAACGTGACAAACTAGGTTTAGGTTAACCTTGGGCTGATTGGGCTTCCCTCGGCCTAGGTGACCGGCTTCTCCATTAGGCATGGAGTATGCCACGTGTCATGACATAATAAGTCCAGGGTGGACGAATAAGCGTGTGCCACGTGGCAAGCCCTGAGATGTCCAACTGGGGGGCACTTGGCAGGACCTGATTGGCCCACGTGGCGCATTCCGATTGGTGGGAGCAAAATCCCCTAATCACCAAGCATTTACTACTCCATATGGAGTATATTAGCTCTCTTGCGATAAAAGTATTTTGTAGACAATATTTAGTTTTTTCAATACAAAAATGTGAAAGAGATAAAAAAAGTTTAGGCTAGAAAATGTAATACAAGCCTCTCTCTTCTCTCTCCTCTCTCCTCTCTCTAAAACCCTAGCCTCCATTGTTGAATTTTGGAGGGAATTCCATCGATATTTACCAGTGGAAAGCCCCAATTGTTGTTTTTGTGTACTTTTTCTCTTGTTTTAGGTTTATAATAACTTTTCCTCTTGTAGGAGGAACATTTCTCCTTCGAAAGACATGGTTTTTCATATTCTTTAGGAGGATTTGGCTCCTTCAAAAGACCGGGTTTTTCTTCTTTCTTTTGAGGGAACATTTGCTTTTTTTATTTCATGGATTGCTATACAGTTGTTTCATGGGTAAAACTTTGTATGAGATCGAAAAATAGGTTAATATTTCTATTATAATATAACAAATCAGACGAAAATTTTCTACACGCTACAATAGATCAATAGACCCCCTCGCCGAATAAGGTTGTAAATCACAGCGATATGAAAGACGGTATGAATAATGTACAATTTGCATCAACGATCGTAGCTTTGCTTACAGAATGTTTTATTTAATTCAATTATTATGTATTTGTTAGATCTAAATCTCTTTGTAGATGTCATATGACTTTTATTTATGAACCAATCTATTAACTATTACTAAAATAAAACGTTGTAGATGTCATCACTGTCCACATGTCACTCTCATAATAAAAGTGAATTGCTAAACATCGCCTGCAAATCTCTACACTACCATGTTGGCGGTGTCCCGACAAGACGCCACCCCTAAATTTCGTAATTTTTTCCCCAATTTACGTCGCTTTCCGGCGACGATGACGACTTTCTGATGTCCGTCTGCTCTCCGGTGTCCCTCAGCGATCCACTCCGGCTCCACATTTTTCGTGAGAGAGAATTACGTTTTCGGTAAAAATTAGAAAAAGGGCAAAAGTGTCAATTCACTAAAATTTGTGGGCTTTATGTAGAGATTTGCGGGCGACGTTTAACAAATCCCAAATTATCCCGCCTAAATGCAAGGATGATATGATGTCATTTTTTTTTTTTTTTTTTTTTTTTTTTTTTTGTGGAGCTATCATATTTCATAATTTTGAAATTTGAATATTAAAAGCTTCTACATTACAACTACAAACTATCAATTTATGCTTAAAAATGAAATAATTTTAAGTAGCACATTTATAAATAGACTCATACATTGAAATATGTATTAGACGACATTGAATAGGTATTATATCATAATTTTGATAAAAATCTAAAATTTTAAAAGTACATATATTTTTGTACAGGGTGCATAATTCTTATTTATATTTATCCATTTTTTAAAAAATGTATTATAAAAATAGTTTTTTTATAAATCATGCATCACACGGGTTCTAACCTAGCTTTATTTAAAAAAAAAGAGTTTAGGCAGGAAAAAATTGAAGGAGAAGCTGACACGTGTACAATTTAGATAAATTAATTATGTCAGCGGTTGTTTACTACTCTGTTTTGACTTAGGCACACTTTAAAAAAAATACTTGTAGGTTCAATTCATCAAAATAAGTAATTTTAAGAATGAAATATAATAATGAAAAAAAAAAACAGTAAAATAATCTCACTTAGTAAAAATAATATCAGTTTAACAAAATTAATTTAATTCAATAGACAAAGTACATAATTTCTAAGAAAATTATAATAAAACCAAAATTTGAAAAATATAATAGAATTATATGTAATAAACCAAAATTTGAAAAATATAATAGAATTATATGGATAGTATAAAATATGGTTAGTGGGAGGTTGGGATTTTAGTTAATCAAACTAATAAAATAAAAATTTATTGCAATTAATCAATAAAGAAGGAGGTTACGATTTTTAGTTGGAGGAAGAGTGTACTCCTTCCATTTTAGTTTTGCAAGTGCAACATTTTGGCTGACACAAAGTGGTAGGAGTTTGAGTTAAACTAATTAAAATAATACAAATTATTAAAGTAGTCAGAATTTGTTGGACATATTAAATTACGGAGAAGAAAAAATAGGATAAAACTTTATTTTAAACTAAGGATCGCGAGATAAAAATAATAAAAATAAAATGTACTTATAGTTGATTTCCATTTCCATTCCATAAAATGTTGCTTTAGTAAAAGGTCAAAATGTTATTGCCTTCCAAAAATTGAATCTAGGAGACTAGGACCTATGATTAAATTGATTTCTAATTCAAGCACCCAATTATTGGTGAATTTAGATTTCATTTGTACCAAGTATATACTTCATGCACCTCCTTTGTTGTATTTCACATGTTTCACTAATTAAAATGGATCAAATATATTTATATACATGTTTTAACACACCCTTTCGTCTATTAATAATTGGTTATGTATTAATAAAAAATATATACTGTAACACTCCTTGTTTATTTATTTATTTATATCTAATGCCAACATACAATTTTGAATGCAAGTCTTTTAAATAATATGATAATTAAAATTATTAAAAATAATAATATTATAAAAGTATACATTGTTACTAATTCCAACAAATAATACAAGTTAAGTGAATTTTTTAAATATCAATTAATAAATTGATCAAGTCAAGACTAATTTGCAGATAGTGTAAAAGGTCGTCAAACATTAACACTTAGAAAAATGGAGGAAAAACATTGGGATAAATCGAACAAAACTTCACAAGCAAAATGCAAAGTAGTATTAACGGTTAAGAGGTTTAAACTTACAATCAATAATTGGTGGTCTTATTGCACCAAAAAAAAAATAGTTAGTGGTCTTAAACTCCTAATTATAAAAGTATTTACCTAAATCTATCTCAATCCTATTGATCATGTTAACCAAATTAAAGATATCAATAACTTAACTATATATTAAAAACGAAACCAGGAGTGACACATATTATCTTCTGGTTGAAATTTTTTCCCTCCATTTTTTTTACGAATTGGTGCTCAAGAAATAAATGAACATAGATAAGGCAATATATTTTTAGAATAATATTATTACTCAATATTTTTGTATTATTATATAATTATTCTATCTTTTAATTGATCTAACTTCATTATTTGGATTTTGGGCAATGGATTTAATTTCATTAGTTAAAAATTCACTTTGGTAATATATATTACGTATTATTGTATATACAATAATTTTCTATTTTTAAAAGGCAAATCAATAATAACATGTGTCTGTAGAAAAAAAAAAATACGTAGCATATGTCAAAATTTGGTGCAAATATTTGCCACCATTATATTTCCAACAAATGTAAGAAAAAAAAATGTGTTCTTAACTAATTAATAAAGTATTGTACTTCGTATTCGTTAAAGTGTGTGAATAAAATAAGGATGGAGATATATATATGTATATGTGTGTGTATATCGCATGCACATTGTTTCTCTTTATTAAATAGAGCCTTATAGTTCTTAAATTTCTTTTATTTTTTCATAAAGTGGATCGGCTTAATGCAATAGTTACCCTTCATTCTAGTATGAAAAACAATTTAACGTCCTTCACTTATAAAATTAATTTAGTATACGGTAAACTATCGTTGAATTAACATTATAATTTATTGTAAAATTAATAAAACTAGTTATGATGATATCTTGGAATAAATTTTGGGTTTGTATATGGTAAAACAAGACAGACTATTGAGGTAAAAATCTCCGATAGAGATTAACTAGGGTTGCCTCTTAAAGATGGTAAGGATTGACCAAAAATAATATTCGTACTGCACAAAGTATATGCAAGAGGAAAAAATGATTTGGGAAATAAATTGACTAAAATAATCCCAAATTTGTCGCATTCGCTGAAAATAATCCCAATTTTCTAATGATATGAATTTAGTTCCAATGGTCCCAACTGGTCATTCAACGTGTTATAACAAGTTATTAGACACGTGTCAGCATAAGATTGGTCTAAAAAAACAAAACCCAAACCCATCCTATCAGGCCCTGCCATCCTGGAATCCGGCCACCCCCACCCTTCCCTTCCCCGATTCCGACTACCCCCTCCATATTCAGTCAATCAAAGTCACAATCTTTTTAATTTCTTCAGTCATCATTGATTCCATTGAAGTGTACTCTGAATCAGCTCCTGAGCTTTCTCTCCTCCATTTAAGCAGGTAACATGTCTTCTTTAATTTTAATCATCGATCAACATTTTCACAACCTAGTGTTAATTGTCAATTCAATTTAGGGTTATTCTAAGCTGGATTGATCATTGAATTTGATATTAAGAAGATGGGTAAACGAGGTAGAGCAGCAGTTGTTGTACTAGGGGATATAGGCCGGAGTCCAAGAATGCAATATCATGCCCTCTCGCTTGCTAGCCAGGTATTGATGGCTGTTTTGTTTCTATAAATGCAGGAATTATTTGCAGTATGAAGGATAGCTGTTTATGATCCAGATATTAAACAAATTCCCTAAAATTTTCCTTGGAGATAATATTATTTTCTAGTTCTTCTTTATCAATTTGCTGAATCCTTACTTCACAGCTGTTCATTTTTTTATTTAATTTTTTTTTTCCCGTAATATTTTTATTTAAGATTCTATTTGAATGACTCAATTTTTTTGCTGTCTTAGGCATCTCTCGAGGTAGACATTATTGCATATGGAGGTATGTATGGCGTTATGTTGCTTACTATGTGATTGTTGTTTGGTGTGGTTATTGTTTGTTTGTGACAGTCTGCATCTGATTTTTGATAATATTTAAACTCTCTCGAAGGTATAGAGTTCCAAACATGAACTTTTGTCTTAGAATTTTAGGCAGGTTGCTAATCGATTTGACCCACTGAACTCAAAATTGCTTGATCTAAAGCAAACTTGACTGACCTGTTTGACACATTTTGCTGCTTATGTTGGGATTTTTTCACCCAATTTTTAAGCTGTTAAGTTGGTATTCCTTGCTTATGTTTTTCAAAGACTAGGAATCCAGGATAGGTCTCAGAAGGTTCAATAAATGGAAATGGGGTTCATTCGTGTAAGTATATAGTTTAGGATAGGGAGCTACCAATTCATAGTGCGCGGCCCTTGGGACTTTGTGGCATCATTTTAGGTTTGTGTTAATATTATTATGCTGTGCGTTTTATTGTTGATTTATTTTTTATAATCAGAATGCTGTGTCTTTTACACTTTTATATGCTTAGGAGAAAGCTTGTTATCTGCCCTAGGAGAAGAAAAAGGAAGGCTCACCCTTCTTTGTTCTTCTATTGGCAATATTAATATGTAAAAACGGGTAAACAAGGGATAGCAAATCCTGCGTTGATTTTCTGATTCTCACAAGTTGTCTACAGAATATTTTTTTAGTTTACCATAAAGTTTCTTTCTGCCATCAACTTTCTCCATCAAGAAGCTTCATATTTTGTACAACACAATTGAGGATGTTATCGTACTTATCTAGCTGACCTGCATCTTTTTGTAGGTTCTGATCCACATGCTGCTCTTCTGAATCACCCTTCCATTTGTATACATCAAATGGTAACTGCTTTGGTTTATGCTTATAGCTGTATCATCCAATATCATTCCCCTTTAATTTTATCTTGAATTTGTAGGCGCAATGGCCTAAATTTACCCAAAAATTACCGTGGGTACTTCGCTATTTTGTCCTTTTGCTCAAGCCACTATTTCAGCTCCTTGTACTCCTTTGGCATTTGTGCATTAAAGTACCAGCTCCAGATGTTTTCTTAGTTCAGGTGAGCAAGTACACAAAATTATTTGTTTAAAATTGTTGGTTGAAGCAAATAACATTACATTTTTTTTAGCTTATCACAGGTCAATTTAGATAAATTTTGTGCTCTGTTGATCAATGTGGAGCATTTGTTACTTAATACGGGTCTCTTTTTGACAGTTTGTGGGTTTAAGATATTCTTGTAACTTAACTCAAGGAACTTTTTTGAGTTGTGATCATCAAGTCAATCCTTTTCATGGATGGCATTTGAAAAATATCTTAAAGTATAGTGGATCTGTGGAAGAAAAGCTTATCTTTGTTGGAATTTCCATTTCAGGAGACACTTACAAGAGTTGGAGTTGGGGTAGGTGTTTTGGAGTCTAGTTCTCAAATGATTTTGATAGGGGTTGTTTGGGTGGTTGTCAAGGTTAATTTTTTCCTTGTGGTGCTCTCTTTATGCACTTTATAAAACCTCGCCTCTACTGTGTATAAAATTTGGATAAGGTTATCTTTTATAGCTAGGGGTGTGCTTTTGAGCATCTAGAGGGCGACTTTGCAGAAGCAAAGTGCTTTAATATTGAACATTCAATCATAATTTTATGTTTTTGGAATGAAGTCCTTATAACGATATGCCTTGGATGCATCTTAGTCTCTTAGACCCATATTAATATTATGTGGTAATAGTCAGCTGAATAAAGGTGTTTTATTATATATTTTCCTACACTTAAAACCTTATAGTCACATAAATTACTATTTTAGAAACTAGTTTTGGAAAGATATGTACACTTAAGATTAAACTGTTTTTTTTTTTTTTTTCAAAATGCTTTTGTGATAAATTATATGATTGCTATTTCTACACAGAAATTGTGTCCACATCCTATAATTTGGAACTGTCATTTTCATGTCATTATTTTACCAGAATCAGCAATCATATCTATTTGCATGCCACCTAGCCTTCAAGTGCTCTTAAAGAATAGGCAGGAAAACCCACCTACTCTGAACCCCTCCACAAGTTTTTGCCAAAAATTAGTCTCCAGATTACGATGCAAGATTAAGTCATTTCTTGTTTTACCACTAGCAAACACCTAACTTAGATACATGAGGAGATGATGTTTTATTTATTGTCTGTACCTTCTATAATCTCAAGCATCAAACTTTATACAGTTTATCAATACAGTGGATGACTCATTTGTAGTCTTTTAGTTTTGTATATCAATTTTTTGGTGAGAATAATACGAAGTAAGTTGTTTGAAGAAAACTACTTTGGGTTTCAAGTTTGATGCTCGTTCCCATTAATAGAGAAGAACAGTGAATTATTTAAACATTTATGATAGATATATAAATTGATAAGTAAATCTAGAAACCTAAATCCATACGAAATGAGGCCTACATGGCCACATTAATGATAGTGTGTTTGTTACTTTGTCAGTACCTCTCGTATCTGAAAATTCTTCATATATATATATATATTTTTGGTTTTGCAAAGAATCCGCCATCTGTACCAACCTTGGTGGCTGTGAAATGGGCAAGCTGGATCAGGCATTCAGCATTCATAGTGGATTGGCACAATTTTGGATACACTTTGCTAGGGCTGTCTCTTGGTAGAGGAAGTCGCTTTGTTGCAGTATATCGTTGGTATCTTTCTGATTGGTTAGCTTTTCTTTTATATGCTCTTGCTATCATTGTGTGCCATATGTTAATGATTTTTGTTTTGTATAAAGGTTTGAGAAGCATTATGGACAGCTGGCAGATGGCTCTCTTTGTGTAACAAAGGCCATGCAACATGAATTGGCTCAGAACTGGGGGATCAGGTGAGAATTTTAGTTTTAATTTTGCAGCCTTCTTGCTGAAATGCTGGTATCCCCTCAGTGATGTTATATATAGCCTCTATTGCATGTAGAGCCACTGTGCTGTATGATCAGCCTCCAGATTTTTTCCATCCTGCTTCAATAGAGGAGAAGCACATGGTGAGCTACCTTCCCTGTTCAGTTCAGCTTTATGCTTTTGCTTTTATTTTTGAAGTTGAATTTTTTTGTGAATCATCTGTAGCTGTTTCTCAAATTGGATAAAGAGTTCAGACAATCCAAGGGAAATCGAGATTGTATCAACCATGGTAAGATGCAGACAATGTTTTTGAATAATTAAGGTGACATAAACAGCCTATTAAGCTTTCTACTTCTTCAGGAAGACATATGAGGACAGATGAGCCCTTTGATACTCTGTTTACTAACGTTTCTGGAGTTGGTATCACTGAAAAGTCAACCCGGCCAGCACTTGTTGTTAGTAGTACGAGCTGGTGAGATCTGAATCTGCAAATTAGTACTTGGTTGATGTGCTATTGCCTATACTACAACTAGACTTTAGATTTCTCCATGTTTACTGTTTGAGGTAAAATTATTATTTTTCTATATTCTGATGCCTTAGCCTGCTTAATTAAATAAAACTAGCCTTCTGGCCTGTGTAATGCACGGGTTGTTAATAGAAAAATGCATTGAGAGATGATTGAGGAAATACCAATAAATCATTATAGGTGTAATGTGTAACCAAAAACATGATTAAAGAAATTAAATGTTTGGGACTTTAATTCAAAATGAGGCTTGGAAAATGGGTGGAGGGACTAAAATTAAATAAAGAAAAGGAAAAGGTTGAATTGAAGAGGGGAGATGAAGATGAAGTATTTAATGAAAGAGTTAAGAAAGATAGTGTAATAAAAAATAAAAAATGTAAGAAGACATGTGGCACGTTGGGTTGGAAAAGATGACAGGGAAGTGTAATAGGATGGAGACATGTGTCTTTCCCGGTTTGAGTTTTTAAATACTAAGTATAGATAACCAACAATGGCAATAAGCTGCTGCTTTGTTTATCTGTTCATTTGTCCTTGGAGTGAGGAAGAGCGTCCTATAGTGATCCTCGTAATATCATATAGAAGTTAATAGTTTGATATGTGAGTGAATTATCAGGAGTTGTCTGTACAGCTTTGAATCTAATAGTCGCCTTTATGTAAATCATAATGTATGATCTCCAGAGAGTTTTTTGTATTTGAGCTCCTCTGTGAACTCTTAAGTTGATTGCATGTATAATTTTGGAATTGTCAAACTCAAGTTCTATTATAATTATCCTTAGTAACCAATGGCCTGTTTTTATACAAGTTTAAGGATCACTTGGGAATGTCAGAGCTTTTGATTCACGGAGTTCTGTTTTAGTAAACATTGTGACCTGGTTTGGTGTGATTTCATTAGAGCTTTTGATGATTTTTATGGAGGAACTGGGGATGATGTTGCAGCTGGGAGTTTTAGTAACAAAGCTTTTGCTCCATCCATCCCCACTTCACTGGAATGGAGGAAATTCTTTGGGTAATCGCTTTTTTTTTTTTTTTTTTATGAGATTATCTAAATAACTGTAATTTGAGTAAAAAAAGTAAGATATAGTGTAGTATAGATAAGGATTTGGGAGACGTGTGACAGAGAAACCCAAACTTCATATATGGAAGAGCAAATGAGAGAGATTGGCTTTATTAATTATCAATTTTTGGATCAAAACACTCACTATTGCTACTACTTACAAATTGTGATTTGAAGGTTTTTCAGAGAAAATGAGAACACTGGAGGTATTTGACTATTGCTTTAAGGAAGATCTATATGGGTTTGTAAAGGTTTTACTGGTGTTGTACAATCCTGACACAGGTTCTTAAATTCACATTTGGTTCTGTAATTAACTGATTGTAATTTTAACTAGTTTGACAATTCAGTATTTAGTATTTCTTTTGTTTCCTGGTAATTGGGTTCTGTACATGGTCTATGAATGCGTAAACAAATAACAATGTGCCATATTGATAAGAAGTGATTGGAGAAGATACTTAAGGGCTTGTTTTGATTGGCAATCAACAGATGTAATAACAGGTTTGACTTGAACTTTCTGTAGAAGCTGTCTGGTAATCTAGTTGTCACCAATTATTCTATTTACAAAACAGCTAGGAAAGATGCTAAAAGCTGACTAAAATGCTTAATGCTATTCCCTTTGGCCTATATTACATCTCATGAGAGTAATCGTGGGTATGCAAAACCACATTGTGAAATGTAATGTGGCTCAGATGGAAAAAGAAAGAAATCCCCTTAGTTTGAGAATGATCAGTTTATGATATGTTGTATTACTGCTGATTTGTCAATACATACTGCTAGGACACCAGACGAAGATTTTGGTATCCTTCTGGAGGCAGCACTTATGTATGACAGACGTGTTGCAGCAATCTTGAATGAGGATGATTCAATTAAAGAAGAGGTCCTTTGGGATGAAATGAACGACGGGAAACAAAATATATACCCTAGATTGCTATTTGTGATAACAGGTGCTTGTTGTCTAGACTTATGTATGTTTTTTCTAGTGCTTAAGAAATAAGCTTTGACACCCTTCATATTGCAGGAAAAGGCCCTGAAAAAGAAAAATATGAACAAAAAATAAAGAACTTGCACCTTAAGCGTGTTGCTTTCCGCACAATGTGGTTGTCAGCCGAAGATTATCCCCTACTTCTTGGTACTATTATTTATATTGGCTGCTTGCTTCCTTTTCTCTATTGATTGAATTCTCCTGCTGCATAATCTTTTTATTTAGCAAAAGGCGTAGTTGGTGATTACAGTTTTGGCTGTCTATAGGGTCAGCTGACTTGGGGGTTTGTTTGCATACTTCCTCGTCTGGATTGGATCTTCCAATGAAGGTATTAGATTCTAATCTTAACTATAGGGGTGAACCAAAAGTTTTACTTAATTGTGTTTTTTTTTTAAAACACTTTTTTTTACGCTGGTTAGATATATCAAAGAAGCTGCCACTGTGCATGGAATTATTGATATCTAATGTGTTTAACAATTCTGTTGCCAGGTTGTGGACATGTTTGGTTGTGGTTTGCCAGTTTGTGCTGCTTCATACTCATGGTAAAATCTTAAGCTTTTGTTTCTTGCAATGCTGTTTCAATGTTTCAGTAATTTCTCCATTTTATTAATATTCACTGGTTTGTTGAATCGTATAGCATTGAGGAGCTTGTCAAAGTTGAAAGGAATGGTCTTCTTTTCTCATCTTCTTCTGAACTGGCAGATCAGCTCTTGGTAAGGCCTCTTGAGTCTTGAATTATGTTTTGTGCCTTCTACACTTTTTAATTTTTGGTTTATTGACTGGGTTGTGGACAATGGCAGAGCCAGAATTCAGTGATTTCATTGTATGTAATCATACATACATACATACCCTGTACTCCCATATTGAACATCAACTAGTTTAACTAGTTAAAGTATTGGGATGGTATCCAATAACTAAGATCAAATCCCTTTTACCCTCTCAGTCCTTTCCCTAACAACCCCCCCCCCCCAACAAAAAAAAGAAATCCTTTTTCTTTTTGCTAAAACTTGTATAAGCATAGCCTTACAGTGCGGAACAATTTTCTAAAAGTAAATTGTTAATCTGGGATTATGAGGAGCAAATTTTAGGTTTGAACAAACACTAGCATTGTACATGATGAATGATGTGTCTATAAAGTGATTGCACCTCAAGATCGTATTGGTGGGTATTAATTATGTAATCTTGTATAAAGTTCTGAATACACTAAGACAATCTATTATCTGAAGTATTCTATAAATGCTGTTAAAAAAATTCAAAAGTGACTGTCACATTTAGGCAAAGGCCGCAAAACAAAATGACACCGTTCTGGACATACAATCAGGTTTTATGCCTTGTAGTTGCTGTTTATCTGTAATTTGTGGCTGTACTGTACCATCTTGGTATATTGCTTATGACTACATGCCTTGCTCACTACTGATTTAAAATTTATTTTCTCTTTTTTTAGATGCTTTTCAAGGGTTTCCCTAATGAGTGTTCTGTGCTCACATCGCTGAGAAATGGAGCCCTGGAAACAAGATCTTCTGTAGCTTGGGGTACTGAATGGGAGGAGCATGCAAAACCCTTGGTACTAGAGGCAAGTTTGTTGCTTCTGCCTTCTTCTATCCATCTGCTTCATTGTTTCATTTCTCTTTAAGTTTGCATTCTAGCCTATAAAAAATCTAAAAGGTATCAAACTTATATGGCATATATGAATACAAGTTGGAATTTTTCGTGTAGTTTTACTGTACCTTCCTATTATTAGATCAAGTTCTTTTTTGTCTAGCACCAATTTTAATATCCAATTTGTGAGGAAGTACCATTCATCTTTTGTGGGTTAAGACTAAAAGTTTTTCACTTGCAGCTTAACACTACTACTTTTGGCAAAGAAGTCAACCTTCTTGCGAGTTACACTTGCATTTCACTCCATTATCCAATAGAATGAAGTAATAGCTCCATTCTACACAGGATACGCAATTTAAGACAATAAAGTACAATAAAGTAAGATAAATTATGTAAAAAAAAAGTTTGGGTGTAAGAAAAAGGTAAATAAAGTAAGAGAAATAATGCAAAAAAATGGGTGGGTGTGAGAAAAAGGTAAATAAAGTGAGAAATAATGTAAAAAAGTGGGTGGGTGTAAGAAAAAGGTAAATTAAGCGAGAGAAATTGTGTAAGAAGGTGCAATTATAGTGGGGTAAGAAGGGTAAGATTGTAAAGGAGGTATGCCTAAAATATAAAGCAAAGTGAGTAGAACAAAAAAGAACGGAAAATGGAAAGAGAGTAGAATATAAAAGAACGGGGGGTCTCACGTCCTTCACATCGTTCATGTCTTTTTCTGATATCATTATTCCCCCGGAACCCACCTCCTCCACCTAACCTCCCTTGCTTATATGTGTAAAAGCTTCTCACCCATTTCTTGACAATCCTCACTTGATTGTGTTAAAGCTGCCATTATTTTGCAAAGATCTGCATTTATTTATCACTTTCTGCCAAAATCACTTTGGATATTGGCATTGATTGCTTCCTCTTGGCTGCTCCTGTTTATTCAACTTGAGCAACACATATATCACAAGAATATCTTCTAAGTAACTATGTATAAGAATCAATTCGTGAAAACTGAAAAGTACTCAACAATTTTGCTTCCGTCATTTAAATCTTTGAGCTCTCTCCAACTGCCAAATTCTCCCATCTTCTATATTGCCTGTTTCTCAACTAAATCTGAGCACCTTCTTTACCTTCAGTAACCAATTTGTCATTGTTACTCGACTCTTCTTTTGTCAACTTTTGGATGTACCCTTAACCTTAGGTTGCTCAAATGTTTGTTGCTGTCTCGGACCTGCAGACTGCGCAAAGTATTCCTATTTTGTGGCATGTTTCAAGCTGCCAGCTATAACTTTACTGGATTTTAGAAGGCTGGACAGAGAGACTTAGAGAGTCTAATATAAGTTGGCGTCATCTATGTGTGACATTTATTGCCTTACTATCTATTGCTGCTCTTTTATCTCAGTAACACAATAAAAGCTGAATGGTGTTGGTGGCTGGGTCAAGGGTGAAGGGTGGCAGGAAGTGAGGAGGTGCTGATGGCCAGCTGGGGTAAGGATGAAGAGGTGTGGGGGAGGGAAGGGGAGATTTAATGATGTGTTGTTTGCTTGGTATTATTATTGCACCTCAAGAATTGAATGTGGATTAGAATAATTATCCAGAGGGTGAGAAGGATAAAAAGAGGGAGAGTGGGAAGCAAGTCAACTTGTTGAAGTTTTCTTGCATGTTGGAAAGCGCTGGTTGACAATTATTTTCTCCGAAAATGCGTTTCTTCACAAAATCCATTGATCTCCTTGTGTGCCAGTTACTCGCAGTTGATGTGGTTATTATTGCATTGATAATATCTGATTTTATTAAGTGTTTTCCTTCATCTTTGCTGTCATTGCATTCATAATCTTATGATATTAGTGTTCCTGACAAACAGATTAATTTCTAAAACATGCAGGTTATATCTCTAAATTCTAGTTGATCTTATAGCATACTCTTATGTGGCCCGGCAGTCATCTCTGTGTAATGATACAGAATACAATGGTATGTTATCAGGCCTCTTCCCTCTCTCTCTTTTTTTTTTTTTTTTTTTTTTTTAATCAAAGACTTTATGACGACATGGTTCTCTGTTTTTTATTTTTAACATATCATCATCAAAGAAAACTGGTATTTACTTTGTTGTGTAGTAACAGGTAAATTTGTTGCTATGAAATCAGGTTTATATTCGTTCAGACAATACCTAATCGATCATAGATGAGACTTGAATTCATGTAGAAAGAGACTCCTGGTACAGTGAAGATCTTACAGAAAAACGCTAGTCCTTTTGCGGCACTATTTACAACAGCTTGATTTTGTGTTAGTTACTCGCTTATCTGTACCAGTCAATTTAGTGTAATCCTTTTTTTTTTTTTTTTTTTTTTTTTTGTCTGGACATAGTTAGTCATGTATACTATTTTTGAGATGCATAGAACAAAATTAACTCATGAAAAGTGCGTCAAATATGGTAAGACATAATGAGTATGCAACAACAAAACTGGATTCGATTTGATTCAAATTTATTTACAACAATATAGGAAGTATATAAATGTATAGTATTGTGGCTTAGATTATATCAATAATTGATGGGACTTTGTAAATATACAGTTTGGTCGGCTGCAAAACCAAATAAATGATGAAACCACTAGGCATTTTACAACTTCTCAACTGGGAAGCCAACAATAGGCTTTACTTCTTTTGCTAAAGAACGCAGCTCCTCAATTTCCTCGCCACTAAGCCGCCACCCGAGTGCACCAGCAAATTCTGCTGCTTGTTCCCCATTTTTAGCTCCTGGTATAGGAACTACATTCTCCTGTGCTATTAACCAGTTGAGAACTACCTGCATGAAGGTTGTGATAATCTTGCTTAGAAAAGGATGCCACAATATTGGCAGTGTTGACTCAACATAGTTGCATTGTGCAATTAGAAATTTTCATTACACCTCAATTACCCAGTGACGGGTTCTTGAAACTCCAATATGTTACATGGATACTATTACTTGACACTTCAATTTGAACAAAGCATAAAGAAGTTTATTGCAAAATAGCCGAGCTCAACACGTAAATGTGTCTTAACACAAGTACCCGATTCCACGTAAAATGCTTGATGAAGTTGGATTGAAGATTTTTCTAGGATCTGACACCAATGATTGGTGAAGAAACTAATCCAGTATTAAGTAATTTACCTGGGTAGAAGTTTTATCGTAGTTCTGTCCTATCTCTTTTATTCTGTTAACCAGAGGTTGCAGCTGCATTGCATAAACACAAATTTCAGCAGCGATCTTATAATCCAATATTACAATCACAGTTTCACAGAAACCAATAGTTACCTGAGTCAGGTATTCTCGAGTATATATGCTGCCTCGTGGACCAGAAGGTGGATTTTCTGGTGTGTACTTTCCAGTCAAGGAACCTGCACATATGAATTGTTTCGTATCACAACATCATTCTATTGATGATGGTTTATGGAAATATTTTGGATATCCAGTTCAGGAAGCTTGGATAAGAGGAAAAAATCATATGAATATGTGATTGTTATTCAGGTTATGTAACAAGCATAACTACATGGTACCAAACACACAAACCTTGAGCAATTGGTGAATAAGCAATCAAAGTGATCCCAAGCTCGTCGCAGGTAGCCTTGACACCGTTCTCCTCTGGGTTCCTGTAGATAAGGCTGTAGTTGACTTGGTTTGAGGCCAGTGGAATGCCTCTCTTTTTTAGCTGCTGATAAGCATCACGTAGCCGCTTTTCTGCAATAGATTAGGCAAAAAATCATGAAAGCAAAGATATAACCAAATCCAAGGTTCCAAGAGTTACCTTAACCAAGATAAAGGATGCAGACACTAAATTAAAATGAGTTATCTTGTTGGATATATGATGGATTCTACACTAGTTTTTTTGACTTAAGATAACAGAATATGTCGTCTGATATCTATAGACATACCGCTATAATTGGAAACGCCAACAGCCTTCACGAGGCCTTTCTCAACAGCATCACCAAGACCGTCGATGTACCCTGGAAAGTAATTCTTACAATGAAGTAATACTGCTTAAATTCAAGATGTGGAGGGTAAAAATTTCAGCTCAGAAATCGAATTGAACTAGATGGAGATATTATTAATGAGCAACCTTCATTTCCCCATATTCCAGGCCTGAATCAGCACAAGACAGTAATTAACTTCACAAAGAGAATAACATAGATATTGGCCATTTTCTGTAAGATCATGCTTACCAGTGTAGTTGATACAGCTCCACTGAGGAGAGTTCTAGGCGACTGAGAGAATCCTTTAAGGCTTTGACAACACTTTCGCGTCCTAATCTCCATGGCAATGCAGCAAACTTAGTCGCAACTGCAACATCCATCTTTGGATCCTTCTCTTTCCGCTCCTTAATAAATCTATCAAAGAATTTATTCCGAAAAGGAAAAAAAAAATCAATTTTCATGAAATATCAAGATAACAGACCAGAATCAGCAGCTCTACACTTCAGACTTCAGAGTTCAGATGAGCTAAATGCAAACAGGACGCCGTTTCTAGAAATGTAGAGACAAAATAGCATGTTGTAAATGAAAATTCTTGTATTACCTTCCAAGAAGAGTCTCGGAATTGATTGCACCAAGAGAAAACTGCAGGTAAGGCAAGTGAATCTCAGTAACTGGATTTGGATGCCAAGAAACATAACCCTGTTAATTCGAACAACTAAACATAGTCGAATAATGAAGTTAAATCTCACCCTGGAGCCATAGACCTCAGCAGTGTCAATGAAAGTTATTCCATTATCAAGACTAGTGTCAAATGCTGCCTTTGCTGCTTTCATCTTCCTGTCTGTCATATCATAACAATATCAATTCTGTTGGTTCTTCAATGTGCCCAAGTAAGATAAACATGCAGGTACAGTTATTCAGTATTGTTTTCCTGTCTCTTCACAACTTCATTAAGCTAGCCAATGTCCATTAATTACAAGTTATTCATGATTGTATGATACCCCACCCTCCGTCAGTAACTAATCGTCACATGCGGTATGTTCTTCTAGGATGTCCGAAAAAAGTTATCACATTCACAAAATTAGAAATGGTTTACCATTCGAGTTTTCTAGTATGCCACTACTTATATCAAGTGATGGGGCAAGACTAATTCCAACATAAATCATAATATATGTTTCCAAATCATAAAGGGTATCATTATAATCAAAGAGTCATGATGAAAAGATATACTTCCAAGTTCCAACATCCAGATTCAGTCGTCACAGCATTAATTAAAATTACACTATCAACGCGACTATTAATCCTGAACAGGCGAAAAAACAATTGAGGAAGGACATTAACAAGGAAGAAAAAAGATTACCATCCCATTCAAAGTTGTTCCAATAACTGGTATCACCCCAAGACCAAGCACCAACACCCAACCTAGTGATTTCCAAATCAGACTCTCCTAATTTGATCTTTCCTTCATCAATTGGGTTCATCTTTACAGAAGTAGCGGCCACATTATTATCCTCAAAAGATGTAACAGCCCTTGTAATCATACTCATACTTCTCCTTTCTTGCTTCATGATTTTGCTACCATTTTTACCATACAAACACCAATTAGCAGCACCATTTAACTGCAAAGCCATCTTCTAATCTCACTTTTTTTGTTAACTTTTGCTTAAGTTATTGTAATGTTATACAATATGTTCTTTTTCTAAATAGTTGGTTCAAAACTCAAAAATGGAGTATGTAGTAAGTCAAATATGAACTGTAATATTTTATGGTAAATTGGGGGTGTTGGTGTTTGGACCCATACCACATGATTTGCATTGTTTTCTTGTTTTTTTGTGAGTTTTTGGGAAAAAATATCTCAAAAAATATGATCATAAATTCAACAGCTAGCTTTGTGGGCCTTCGCTCTTCTCATAGTCTCATTTTGTTACGTGCAATTTTTTTGTTGCCAAAAAAAATGTGTATCAGCCCATCAGGTGGGTATGGGTTGATTTTTTTTTTTTAAAAAAGTAAGGCAAAAGACTCTAACCAGATTATCTTAAAGTTATAAGGTAAATTTCCTACCACCAACTACTTGATGCGTTTCTAAAAGGTCTATGTGTTATGTGGACTCCTCATAAGGAGGTTCAAACACTAAACCTCTTAGAAGAAACATTATTGTTTAACCATTTAGACTAATTGTCAATTATGCTCTAATCTTGCACACAAATTATTATTTTACACCGAAGTATTGAAGACGCATATTACATACATACCGGAGTATTACGGAGTAAATGTCTTTGAAAATAAGCAGTTGCATAACTACAAAAGTAGTCTCTTGAAGCAAAAAGATGTACGAGAAATAAATTATGAAATTTAAGAACAGATCACATAATTACTCCATTTTTTTTTATTTTTTTTTTGAAACAACATAATTACTCTGTTTGATACTTTGATTTGATGGAAATTATTTGATGAAAAAGTATAATTTACGAAAAACATTAATTGAAATACAATACTCAATACAGTAGTAAACTAGTTTTCGGTTTCTTTGTTTATTTTTTAGTGTGTGCCTTGTATTTAGTTTCTTCCTATTAGCCTAGGTTGTAATTTGCTCTTTATTTACAAAGCCCTCTTCGTTTTTTTTTATTACTAACCAGAGTAGTAATAACGAAAGTAAAATGGAAGTGAAAGCCTAAGAGCTAGACGGGAGGATAGGCAAAAATTTTACTTTTTAAATTTTCACATTCAGAAAGTAAAAAAGAAAAAAAATAAAAAAATATTCTGATATAGTTTAGATAAAATTTGATGAACCAAAGATGATATTGATATTAGGAGTAGAAAAAAAAACTAGCTAAAATAAATAAAGATTGGAGTTTGAAATCAAATAAAATTTGTAATTTCCTTATAAGAGAATAACATAGTTCTGGGAATATTGAGAGTGATTCTAAGAAAAACAAGCTTTCTGAAGAATCAATCATACGAAAAAAGAAATTCCAACGAATTTTTGTGGAAAGATTGCGGGTAATGATGCATTTATTAAGAATTCAGCACAAGAATTGAACGATGCATTGAAGTCTTTGGATATCAAAAAGAATTCCAAATCGTGCAAAAAAATCATTGATGAGAATCCGGCCAAATTGAGGAACAAACGAAATCGTTGTGAAGATGATGACTAAGGTAGGAGGTCGTAATGCTTATTTAGAGACTAAGTGTTCATGTTGAGTTTATTATTAATATATTTGAATTTTTCTCAGAATAGTGTTATTTCTCGTTTACAATATTTCACCAAACGTAATATAGCAGTATAGCTTTGCTTCTGAACTTCTCAAACTGGTTCCAGAAATCTGTTTAATCCTCACTTATCGCATAATTAATTGATTAAATTGCTAAGCCTAATTGTAATTTTTGGCCATGGTTTGATTTGACAAATACTATCTCTGATGTTTTAGGTGTTCATATCCTAAAACCCTAGGGTTTGTTCGTTTGTTTTTAGTTTTTTTAAATAAAATCGAAAAAGGAAATTAGAAAAAGTTATTTTCATTTTTCCTTTGTAAATTTTCAAAATTATTATGAATTTAATAAGTTTGACCAATTTTTGATTTATTATATAATATATATCATATGTTTTTTTCAAAAACAAAAAAACCAAAAAAAATTTCCCCTAAAGAATGCAATATTGCAGTAAAGAGTTTATATATATATATATATATATATATATATGGGAATAATGGGATAGCTTGATACATGTTGACTTAGATTGGGGAATGCTAAGCCTTGGTACAAAAATCACTTCCTGGCGTTAGGATTTTAGACCAATAAAAGTTGCTCCGTATCCATTACCAGTTTAACCTGAAGGCGCTAGTGAGAGTCGCAGATGAAGCCACCAATGGAAGAGTAGCGAGTTTAGATACTCCCATTGGAAGACTTAAACTAAGTATATAAGTAAACATAACACAAATCTCCACAATTCATTTGGGTTGAATTGTGGCATTCAATTAAACAAGTAAAGAATATGTATAAAAATTGAATAGTAAGCTTGAAATAACATATCTTTTTGTCAGGATATAATTTTCAGATAGCATCAGCAATTGATTTTTAATTAGAGTGAAGAAAGATGCTAAACATAGTAAAGCATCAAGTACTGCATGACCTAGCATTAAATTTTCAATCATATTGTATGATCAATAGTTAGTGCATAATACCCAGTTTCTGAAAAAAAACAGTGTGTTCTAAACGAGCAAGAAAGTGAAATCAGGGCGAAATATGAAGCAAATATGGGCACCAACGCTTAATAGTTACTTGAACAGAGCCCTGTATTCCTCTGCCTCCTGATTCATTTCTTCAAGGGTTCTATCCTTCCTTTCATTGTCCAAGTCCAGCTTTTGAGCTAATTCCTTCTCCTTAACATCAATCTAGTGCCACAGAGACGAGGAAAGGGTTAAGTGAGCAAGCTACACACCACATCGAGAGATGAATTAGAATCTACAAGTAAACGTACTAAGCTTACCACATCATAGATTTCATCGTTCTTCTCAAAGTCACCAGTCTTCCGAGGAATTATATGAATGTGGACATGTGGTACGGTCTGTCCTGCTTGAGGCCCATCCTGATATTTCATAATATACTTGCATAGTTAAATTGACTTATCAAAAAGAATGGCATGCATTAATTTATAATCTTAAGGGCAAGCTGATTGAGGATAGTTAATCATGTATACATTCCATCTAATTTCATAGAAATGGAAGATGCTAAATCCTGCAGCATATTCACTATGAAGCAGGTTATAAAAAATGTATTAGCAGTGCCAATTACAAAAAAACAACCGAGAAATACTGAATTGATGAGTACACAGTTGGCCAACAAGATATCGTGATGTTACTGTACGTACTTGAATTGTAAGAGTTAGTGATGATGCTTTATGGTAATGCTCCAACTTCCTGCCAACTTTTTGTGCTGTGAGCCATAAATCACAGGTCTCATCACCAGTGAGATCGGCAAAGCGCTTTACTTCACGCCTTGGACAGACGAGTACATGTAAGAAATGTTAAGTAAACCAAACAGAAAATACAAGCATTGACATATGTTGACTTTGTTGAGAAAGAAATTCATAAATTCAGTTACGGAGTATAAGTTTGGATTTAAGTATGTGAACAATACATTAATACATTATCATACATATGAAAATCATGAACATCGTCATCTAATGTTGATTTGTTGACACAAGTGAAAAATACTTGGTTTTTTTTTTTTTTTTTTTTTTTGGTAAAAAAAAAAAGAAAAAAAAAAAAAAAAACCATAGTTCAAAGTGCTACCATCAGCAGAAAGTACACCAATCACTAGCAAATTCACCCCACATACGAAGGTAAGATGATCAGGCATAAGTCAATATAGTTGACTGATTTGAAGCAGAACCTTAAAATCCAGTACAAACCCTTAAAGGGAACCTGCATCAGGTTAGTAGGGGAAACTCTCTGTCCTTGTATAAACAAGGCAGAGTTTGAATATAGAGCCTCAGAAAGACAATGAGAGAAGGCACAATGCCTGATGTTTGAAATGAATATGAGCAGAATATGAAGTTTCACTTTATTTTATGCCATGATCGGATATGTAATAAAGTTGTATATAGCATTTATTAATACTTGCATGCAGTGTGTGTGGCATACTGCAGTTGTGCAGGCATTTTATGTTGTCATAAAGTAACATATATAAAAAATTTACAGAACATGGAATTAAAAAAGGAGCTCGATGTCACAAAATATCAGAGGATATGACCTGCAAAAGAAAACAAAATAAAAGAGGTAGCTTAGACAATGGAAATAAGCTTAAGGGTGATTGGGTGAAGGGTAGAGCATAAAGGTCAATCTTAAGTTTGAAAAAAGTCCCCAGATCCTCAGCAAGTCAACAACAACATAAGCAGAAACCCGTCACCAAGACGCTACTTTCTGTATCATTGACTATTAACTAATTAGGTGCATATTAGCTTTTTACCTACTTGTACACGCATATATTAAATATTTTGCAAATCACAATAGTTCTTTTAAATAAATAGTACATTACAATATTTTCCTTTGAATGCAACAACTACAGCAAGAAAACTAAGGTTGATCTAAGCTGCATCTAAGAATTCAATATATATGTCTTCCATACATAGTTAATCTCTCTAATTGAGCTCTTGTACAAGAAAAAGTTACGCTTTATATGCATGACATGTAAGAACTAAGAAGTTGCAAGGGATCAGCCCAAGCCTATTATCCGTTTCACTTATGCAAGAAGGCCCAAGAATACTAACAATTGATGACAGGGAAGTTGTTAAGAAATCAGTTTTGGGGAGAGGGTAAAGTAGTAATTCATGAATAAGTTAGTTACTGAGTTTGTTATTTTGATTCCTTTTGCTAGCTGCTTCTAGAGTTTGTTAGCTTGCTTCATTTTTGGGTATTAATAGGATTTTGGGGTCAAGGGGAAGGCAAGAAGAAAAGAATATTGTTAAGCATTTGCTTAGTGGTAGAGCTCCTTTCCCCTCGAAAGAAAGGTGTATTGAGTGATTGCATTGATCAATTCAAAACGAACTATCCTCAACCTTACTCGAATTGCTACCATTACAGATTTCCTTGCCTGAGTTCATGCTAATTCCTAGCAGAAGTGAGCAGCCAATTGATTCCATAATTACAATGCATGTTAGGACACCAAGGGAAGAACCAATTATGTGTCTGTTTAAATGAGTAAATAATACATCCAAATAATCAACCACTATGGCTAACAGATAAATAATGCTAAACAAAGTGAAAAGGTTTACCAGGAAGAACAGGACGCAAATTCACCATGGCATAAGAGAGATTGGTAGAGTAAAATACTTCTTTTGGATCTATTTTGTAAGGCCCAAACGCAAAAGAATCCGATTCCATCTGCATGTAAATGTGATAATGATTAGAAGTTGCAAAATATCGTAGCCATTATTCAATACAATTTAACTGTCACAATAGATACATGTGCTGAAAACTTGACAGACAAAGAAGAAAAGCTTGAAACCCGCCTTCTTGCAGGATCTAGTAATCGTGGTGGATAAAGTTCGAAGACCTCTTGATGATGTGAAGAGCGGGGTGATGAAGGAACACCTCATGCTCTGAAGAGTGGAACTCCTGGTAATGGCAGTAAAAGTCTGTGACAACATTATGTGCTCCAATTGCCTTAATATCATCTTCCCTAATCCCAACCTGGATTGATATAATGATCTAAGAATGAAGGCAAAATCTCACAAAATGATCAAGATCTTTGCTAGATACTTGAGAAAGGCTCATATATTATCAAAAGTCGGTCAAGAGATATTTCAGCAAAAATTGCCTTTTCTAGGATAAACATGGGAAAAATTGGAATCAAGGAGTATTGCCATGAGTTATACCTATCGAATTCTACACAGGCTAGTTAGATTCGGGAAGTTATCCAAAAAATAATGGGAACAGGTTCTCTAGTCTAACCCCAAAAACTTAATGAAACTGCACCAATGTATATAATGAAGAGTTGAAGACCTTTAGTTTCATCCAGCAAAAATCGGAAGAATCAGACAGCACTCATGTAGAACTCTAGCTTCTGAAGTCAAATAGTACTCCAAGAATCTCATAGTCAACCTTTGTTACAGCAACACTCACACTCTAATTTCTTATAAGATAACAAAGAATTCCCAGTTATTGCTCAAATCACAGCAAAGCAACTAAAGAAACACTTAACAAATAAAAACAATGACTACCAAGTGTATCTTCTATATAAGGTATGGGTCGTGCACATCCTTACAACAAACGCTGTTTCTATGAAGAAAACAGAAAATCTTCAGTTACAGTCTGTGTAATGACCCCCAACCCTTGCACACCCACAGATAATCATAAAAGATCAGGATCCTAGCTCATAAACATTCAAATCAATGCAATTAACTCTTGGCATTCCTAGCAAAACTCTATATTCGGCTCCACTTTCAGTCCTGTTCCTGAGACCCAGACCAAGGCAACAGCATCATCTCATTTCACAGGTAAATTAGCATGTTCCTCTTCTGATTCATCAAGTAGATGTGCTTGTTACTCTAGCTATCTGAGTACACAACCTTTGATTAACAACCCTAGTGCGAGAGATCAAATGTGACACCACAACCTTTAAAACTAACCCTTTCATATCACACTACCAAACCCTCAAAATATCATCATAACGCACTTGGGTACAGCTCTGCTTTTACAACAATCTTTGATACTATTAACAATGATTTTCCTCTACAAACACTTGAATGCTGATTTTGCGAAATAAAATATTATGGCCCTTTTAATGAAGAACCCATTTGTTGAATATAAAAATTGTAACTTGATAGACCTGCAAGGGCTGCAACTTCAATAATGTTGTCTGTGATTCATAACCTTGTGTTCAAATAACTATAGGTCAACTACTCTTGCACACACGGCTGTCTAATTGTAAAAATGGGGCCTTGAAAATTCAACAAAGAGTTGATAAGTTATCATCCAAATATCCAAGTTTGAATAATCAAGAAAGTGTTAATAACTCTCCCTTTATCTTCATTTACACTAAAAATCGGATAATGTATATTTGTACATAACTTCGATGATGATCAATCAATCGATGCAAACATGAAATTGGCCATCAATCAATTACGGAGTATATCAACAATTAACCACAAACATATTCATCCGTCAATCGATTCAATCAACTCAATGACCAAATAACAAAATCAGCTGAACAACACAGCTAATTACCAATAATCAAAACCAAATGATGAGAAAAATGCAAGCCCTAATTCCTAAACATAATAAAAGTTGAAACCCATTATTTTGATCAACCCAACAATTGCACCAATTAATCCAGTAATCAAACAACTAATGCGCCAATATATAAACAATTTAAAGTAAATCCCATCAATTATAAACTTAGTCAATTCACCCCATTAATAATTAGACAAATATCATAAAACTCAAAGATATTTTGGGAAGAAAATTAAAAAAATAAAACAAAAGAAAAGCAAAAGAGAGTAAAGTACTAACAGAGATATAGTGCTGTCTTAATTGGGAGTTAATAAGTTGAATCAGCTGCCTTCGAGGAATGCGGAGTTTACGATTGTTGCTGGGAATGATGTTGGCAAAAGGCTTGTGCGCAGATCTTGCTCCAAAGTTCCACTCTTTCTGGGTTTAGAATAGGGAAGAAAGAATTTGCCTTTATTCTTTTATATGCATCTAATGTACACAAAATCAGTGATCATAGACAGTTAGACACGAGAGCACGGTGACTCAAAAAACACTCGGATTTACGATGTTGCATCTACTAGCACGTTTGTCATTACACAGCTTTAACGATTATTATCATAATAAATTTAATATACTTTCTCCCTTTTTTTTTAGTTGTATCATCTTGTAAATTGCAGAGATAAAGAGAGATAGAGAAAATGAAAAAAATGGATCTACATGATAGGAGAGATTTAAAGAGTTTATTAATTAAAAAGAAAGTGATGTAACTAATTTGAAATTTTCGTTTAGGAAAATAATGCAACTAAAAAGAAATGGAGGAAGTATTTAGACTGCTCGTTGAGATGATGAATATGATAACACACATTCGAGTATGATCTTGTTAAAATTGTTAGAATTTTATAAACGTCTTGATGAATATTTCCATATTATCAATTTTTTATAATTGTTACTTATTTATACAGTAAGGTTTATATATAAGTAACAATTATAAAAAATTGATAATATGGAAATATTCATTAGTAAGGTTTCATTCACTTTACCTTATTTTTGTTGAACTGAAATTATTTTTGCTGAACTTAAATTATTTTTGCTGAACTGAAGTTAATTTTACTGAACTGAAATTATTTTTGCTGAACTGAAATTATTTTTACTGATTTTCTGTTATATTTCTTCTTTAAAGTTACTAATTTTTACTGAACTGAACTTATTTTTACTGAACTGAACTTACTTTTGCTGAATTAAAATTATTTTTACTGAACTGAAATTATTTTTACTAAACTGAAATTATTTTTACTGAATATTATTTTTTAAGGTGGATTGAACAAGGCCTAAATCGTTTGATACAACACGTTATCTTTTTCATTATATACATAGGAAGAACAGAGTTAATCTTTTGACCGTGATTTTTTAATATAAAAACACATGTAATACATTGATCTCAACTTTTCAATAACATAATTTAATACCTGGTATATAATTAGAGTTACTAATAGTCAAAGTTGTGCATTAACAAGTTTGATATTCAACATGTTGCATTTTCACAATATAAATTTTACCCTTAAAAACACAATTATAATGTACTAAATTAATCATATTAGCCTTCACATCATGTATACATTAGAAATTACATTAAAATACAATCAAAAAAATTACAAATTTAAAATTACCTTTAAAGGGGTTAAAGTTACTATATAAATTGTTTAAGTTATCCTTAAATTAATAGTCTTACAATAAAATTAACGTAAATCCGCCTTACATAAGACTTATTGAAAGAGTATATCGTGTTTTTCACTTCGTATTTTTTTTAGTAGTAAAATAGAATTCGGGAAAACAAAGACTTAATGGGTCGGCCTGTGACGAGGTGAGTTTACTAAAGACTCATGGTGATCGTTTTAGATTGAGTTGAGACCTTAGGTCCAACCCTTATTTTTTTTTTTTTACGGGGAATTGTACCTAAGCAATACTTCATATGTACGAAGTGTTTATTCCTTTCATTTTCAAGGCTTAAAAGTCATTATATTTGTTCAAAAATGGGAGGATTGAAAAAAAAAAGAAAGAAAGAAGAGAAGATACATGGTAAGCATTGTAACTAACTTTCAATTATCTTTATAGTGAAGTGGATAAAAAATAAAAAGGCCGGGGGGGGGGGGGGGGGGGGAACAACCAACAAAAGACAAGATATGGGTTATATGATCCCAACTTATCTTTAAATTACTGTGCCTCAATTTTGAGCGATTAATAGTGTGTGGATTAAATTACACAACAAACCCAAGTACCTAACACATCTTTGCCAATATTCAACTACAAATGTAGGTTGCTTTGGATTGTTTAGCGAAAAATTTTGAACTAATTTGGGGGCGCGCGGTAATAAAATGATGTATAAAAGTGATGATGTTGATGGAAATCAGGTTTTAATGCAATATTGATAAGAGGATAGACGGATAGTCATTTGAATTATGATAGAAGACCTATCAGACAATGAGGCTATATATGAAATGTTATTCCTACTTTTTCATGTATGTTGTATTGTCCTGCAAAAAATTCGTCCTGCCAAAGGACCCATAATCAAGAATAACAACCTCTCTTTCAATTAGATTTGATAAATAGTGAAAAGATAAAAAATGAATTATTTATTTATATAAGGAGATCTATAAAAGATAGTAGTGTTGTGGACGAGGCTTGATCTCAAATTTTTGGTACAATTCTCAAAATTTTAACCAACTAAAATAATTAACATGCACAAAAAAAACAATATGATGACCAATTAACATATATACACTTGCCTCCCTAATTTTTCAAGTAAGGACGAATCGACGAATATTGCATGATTTTGTCAATAAACATTGCATTCTTGAAAAAAGAAAAAAAAAGGAATGAGACTCTAACTTATGGAAGTGAAAAGCCATAGAAAAATATACTCTTTAAATTATTAGAGGGTTGATGTTAGAAAATACAAAGTGATAATAGTTAAAATATATCAGATGCAAGAGAAAATTAGCATTAAAATTTGTAATATAAGAAAAAAAAATGTAACAATTAAGGATTTGTTTGGTTTTTCTTATCTGTCTTAATTCATATAGAATAAGTTATAGTAATATAAGTTCAAATAAAATGAGGTTTTTTCAAAGAACTTTAGATACAATTTCAAATATTTTCAAATTGGTTCATATAAACTAAGGTTAGACAAAATAATATAAATTTGAGAAATATAAATTCAAAGGAGTTTAGACAAAATATTAAAAGTTTAGATAAGTTTGCATAACATAATTTCAATCAAAATTAGTGAAGCAAACAAATCCTACATTAGGATAAAATCATAAATGATAAGAAAATATATAATAAACTTAAACTTTTTTTGTCTTTTATTTTCTTTTTTTAAAAAAAAAAAAAACATACACGTAGTAAGAAAATGACATTTACAATCACATTATTAATTACTTGTCACCATATTGATAAAACTTATGTGATTCATATGAGTTATTAGGACCCCATCCCAAAAAGTTGTATAATTGGTTCACATAATTTAGATGGATATATCACGTTTAATTTTTCAATACACAGTTGTATATATCTTTAGCTAATATCCTGTTAATACAAATTTTAAAAAGTTGATGTTTTAAATATATACATTTAAATTAAATCAACACTTCCACGAAAGGTAGAGTTTATATCTTCTTCGAAAAACAAGATTTTTTCCATCTTTTTCAAAATGTAGGGTTTTCAATTTCCTTTAAAAGATAGGTTCGTCCCAACCTGATTGACCCTGACGAGCCAAGGAGACTTCTTTTACTTTAAAATCCGAGACTAACTAATGGATTGTTGTGAAATTATTTCGTTGATGAAAAAAGTCGCAAAATCAAATGAATCAATCAATTAGATGAAAAAAAAACCTAACAACTATAAAGGAAGTGAATTGTTAGATTGTATTTCTAACACGAGCGATATAAGGGGAAAAAATTCCACAATGCAAGATCTACTTGATGATTGTAGTTTTTAAGAAATAAATCTTTATTTGATCCATTAAGTTATGTATTTTAAAATTTCTTTTGTAGATGTCGTATGACTTTTTATTAAAGAACTAATTTCACTATTCTACAAAAAAAAAAAAAAAAAAATTAAAGCAACAATGATAGCATTTATGTATTATATCATAAATAATGTGGTCAAATTGATATACAAATCGCAAAAGGTAATTGTTGCGATAATTAATGAATGAAAGAAATATTATTAATATATCGAAGTTAACAAGGCAAGAGATCAATCTAAAATAGAGGATTATAATGTTATCTCGACGTATGGAAAGATTTTCCCTTTTGTCGTTCTTTTCGGGGCGGAAAAAAAAAAAGTGCAAGGGGATAATAATTATAATTGTTAGGGTGATTATGTAGTGATTTTGTGGTGATGGGTGAAGAAAAGGGGATTGCTATCCTCATTTTAAGGTAAAGTTATTCCAGGGTGAAAGCGAGTAGCCATTACCAACGAGGATAATAATTCCTCCATCTATCTCTTTTCCTCGTGTTACCACTTCGTGATTTCATAAGTTAACACTTTATCTCCTTTGACATCATCTTTAATTAAGTATATTTTTTCTACTTTGACTTTTATTACTCTTTTAATACACTACCTCCAATCTCAAAGGAGATATATTGAAATCATGAAAGAAGACCATCTTTTTCATGTCCTGGCCTGTTAAAATTCGTCTAGCCCAGTCAAGGGCCCATAATCAAGAATGACCTCTCACTTCATATCATTCAATTAGATTTGATATAGCATAAAGATACAAATTTATTATTATTTAATATATATATATATATATATATATATATAAAATAATACATAATATTGTTAATTATTACTACTACTACTATTATCATTTTTTTAATGTAGATAGGGTTTGATCTCAAACGATAAAATTTTCAAAACTTAATCAACTTAGAAATGTAACATAAACATGATTTAATCTCGTATGCTGGGTATAATTTAAGGTAATTAACATTCATAAATGATGGCTCAATATACTTGCCTCCCCAACTATTTAAGTAAGGATGGATATGCAATATTTATTGTATATACACACGATTTTGTTTAAAATTTGTATATAATAAAATAGATTTTCTATTAATAAAAAATAAATTGCTATAAAATATCTAAACCATATTTCAAAAGAAAAAATATCTAAACTATATACGTAGTAAGAAAATGACTTTTTCAATCACATTTTATTATTTGTCCCCATATCAACCAAAATTATGTGATTTGTAGGAGTTACGACCCATCACAAATAATTAGGCCCCATTCATTTCACCTTAATAAAAAATAACATTTAGTAACAATAATTTCAGTTCAGCAAAAATAATTTCAGTTCAGTAAAATTAAGTTCAATTCAGTAAAAATAATTTCAGTTCAGTAAAATCAGTAACTTTAAAGAAGAAATACCATAGAGAATCAGTTAAAATAATTTCAGTTCAGCAAAAATAATTTTATATTAGTAATATTAATTTCAGTTCAGTAAAAATAATTTAATTTCATCAAAAATAATTTCAATTCAGTGAAAATAATTTCAATTAAGCAA